TTATTATATTTTTTAATACCGAATTTTAATCTAATATTCGCTATAGTTATATAACGAATAATTTTTTAAAATTCATTGCACATATTTGCGAATATTTTTTTATACCGAATTGTAACCCTTAGATTTAAAGATTCGTTATGTCAAACTTTAACTGTAGAACAAAGTTACTTAGAGCATAAAGATAGAATTAATTAGTAAAAGTTCTTATCATTTTTCATAATTACATCATAATTCTAAAATTTTACTAATTAATTCTATCTTCATACTCTAAGTAATTTTATTTTTTGTACTGTACAAAAATATATTACATAGAGAACATATTATTCAAATTTACTGTTCTCAAAAAAATTTTATAGAGAACATCTTAAATTTTGTAAATGTTCTCAAATTTAAAAACAATGTTCTCATGAGAACATGAAAACATAAGATTTCCAACACTGGACCGGACTGAACTAACAAAACCATAATAGACCAGACCAGACCTGGACCAAAATATACCAGACTGGACCAGACCGGACTGTTAACATACTAGATTCGATGATTGCTCCTGCGAAGTGAAAAAGTCAACGATCCCGACAATCTGGAATTCCAGGTTCCTTACAATGAGAGGATCCTAATGAATCTAAAATCATACAAATATGGTCACATGATCACGAGATCGGTAGATATAAATCTTTGTCGATCTCGCGATATCGCGATCAGGTGACCATATTTGTATGATTTTAGATTCATTGGAATCCTCTCATTGAGAAGATTATTTTGATAGTTAAATCATTTAAATTGGATCGGTAAATCAGAAGTTATGGATTTTTAAAATTTATTATTTAAAAAGCAATATTATACAAAAAATTGGTGCTTTATTTAATATTATAATTCTTTTTTTTTTCACATAATAACCTTGTATGAAATTTTGCAGACTTTTTGTATCCTGTTGGGACACCAAATTACTTGCATAGTACCACAAAGCAACTTTTAAGAAACCAAAAATTTTTAATTTTTATTAATTTTTTTTAAAAATTGAATTTTTTTAAAAACATATTGAATCAAGAAATTATACAAATTTTTTTTACAAATAAATTATATAAATACTCAAATATTATATTATTTTTTGGCTGCTTATTAATATGAAAAATTTGAGTTATTATATTTAATTTAAAGTGTATCAGGATGGTATATCACGCTTAATGAAATTACCAATAAAATATGGATGTTTGTTTAAACATACATATTTATCCCACCAATAAATAAATAATTTGTATATGCAAAATAATTATAAATCAACCTAATACAATATAATCACGTCATCATTAAATCCCATCTCAAGTAGATCTTGTTCAACAGCAACTAACATACCATAGGGACCACTAACAATAATTTTTCCATGTGTTAAATTATCCCCATTTTTTGAATTTGCTAAATCTGGATCAATGCTAAGCATTCTTGATTTTTTTGATGATGCTTTCGGTTCTAGGTAAGGTTCTAGGTAAGGTTCCATTTCATTTATATGATCTTCATATATTTGATTCTCAGGTTGTATAAATAGTGCAAATTCCCTAGAAAGTGTATGTACACTTACAGTATTGTATTGCCGCAGTGGAGACATTGGTGGAATTTCATGCGACTTCATGAATGGTGGTTCATGATTTGACGTTGATGAAAGACTCCAGCGATTTTCATTTGGGTCACGAAGTATAGAATGACTATGAAGAATATTCGTCTGAGTTTCATGGTCACGACGTATAGAAGGACTATGAAGAGTGTTCGTCTGAGTTTCATGGTCACGACGTATAGAATGACTATGAAGAATATTCGTCTGAGTTTCATGGTCACGACGTATAGAATGACTATGAAGAATATTCGTCTGAGTTTCATTAGGTGTCTTAAGGGACAAACCCTGCATCAGATTCATCCAATCTCGTATTATTCGTTTATTAATTCTTCCTTTCAAACCTTCCCAATCAGAAGGCGGTTCTGATAGACAGAATGTCACAGTTAATTGTCCTTGACTTGAAAGTGCAAGATCTTCAAGTAATATACCATCGATAACATCTTCAATTTTACGGTTCCCAAATAATAAATGCATTCGTCTGTATTTATTGGTATCGTTTTCTCGTTTCATCGACCGTTCCAAATGATACTTGATTAACTGATATAATTGACCTTAGAAATTATTATCAAATCACTTTGAATACTTGATAAAATATGAATAATAAATTACCTGTAGCATTGGTGTTATTCCGGTGCCACCTAAGAAAGCGAAACAAAGGTTATAATAAACATTTTTTATAATAAACGTCAATGTATAGAATTTATTTCATCAGTACCTGCAATCATATATAATTCATCCCAACAACCATCCGGGCTATTTGGATTTATTAAAGAAGTTTTTGCCGTAGATAACGTTTCAGTAAGTCTGGCGTAAGGAGTATGAGGTTTTGCGGATGGTAAAACGCTCAGACGAGAATTTAACGATGTAGGCGCCAAATATGACTTGCATCTATCACAAGCATCAAATGGACCACGTACTTGAATTTCATACCCTATTAGCTGTTCATTCTAAAAATGATAACTAGTGTGAATTTAAAAAGAAATATTATTAAAAAAGAAAAATGTGAATGTTATTGTACCCATACCAAATGCTGTGAAAAGAATCCTTTTGGATAAATTTTGACGTAAATGGTAAAGGACTTGGATAAGCTACCTTCCAAGGGAGTGTAGCTTCTGATTACAATTTGACCATTTACTCTAGATTGCACCTCAATGTAATGTCCAGGTAAGAATTTCTCAGCGTAAACGTCTTTTTCGGCTTGATGTATTTTGGTAAATGTAAATCTCATCACAGGATATTCACAATTTGCATTAATCATTTTCTTGCTTGTAAGCCTATAACGGTGAAATTTGATACTTTTTGTGTCTATTTCAACGGGATTGCATTCTAGATTTTGACAAGGAGATCTACGATCTTGAGTCAAATGTCCTTTTTCATTCACTCTTTCATTTACTTTGCCTATAACCATTGACACCATTTTCTGTACTGCAAATCTGCTATGAGTATGTTGCGCCAACGGTTCTCTTGAATAAAATTTTACATTAATGTTATCGATAAATTTGGCAGCTGACATTTTTCTTCGAGGTTCTGGCTCTCTTTGAAGGTGATTTATATATTTTGCAAGCACAGATGAATAATTGTTAAAAGTTGTATCTTTTGAAGTCAATAAAGCTTCTGTAGAATCTGTATCTTCGAAAATTTTATTTTCATGTGTATTGTAAAAATCTAAACGAAAGTATTTATTTATTTATAGTTTAGTTATTAATAAACGTATATTTAAACAGATATTTGCATTAATTCTTACCATTTGTAATATCGGTCCCAATAACCTATTATAATAAATCATTAATTTACAAGGTCATAAAGTAATGACGATTAATAATCAATTTACATGAACAAAAGAGATCAAAATTATTGTAATATTTACGTGTAATAATATTTTACTTCCGCCTATTATATCAAGTGTTAAATAAATTTAACATTAGTTATCAAAAATTTACATTGAAGGATATATTGAAAAACCGACCTGGGTGGGAATCATAAAAACTGCGGAAGTCTACTACAAGTCCATCACAAACGACCAAATAAGCCTAAATAATAGAAAAAAACAATCAGTTAAAATTTTGGACATAGTTTCTAATTATTCCAATTTTGCCAGTCTTATATTGAACGTTGTCTATCCTCGGACAAATAGTAAATTCAAATAATAAAGTTCTTTGCCAGTATTAAACCTATGCAAATAAATTATGTTTTTTAAAATTCTTTGGTGCCTCTATAAAATAATCGAGTTCATTTTTTATTTTCTCAGAATTGATTGAGTTCTAACCAATGATTTTTGTTTTAATTTATAAGAAAAGTAGGAAAAATGGCTATTGATTTGAATTTTTACTTGTATAGGTTTAATATCATAATGCACCATAAGGCGAAAATTGAAAACCTGATTTTTTTTTGTTTGCAGCACTTATTGATAGTACAAAATAATTAGACCTACCCCATGTTGAACTCGTTCATTAATTTCTTCCCATGTAAAGTCGGGTAATTTAATATAATCTTCATAATTAATATGAGGGTGCATCAAATTTTTGTCGACAATGGTATCATATTTAATACAAAAGAATCGGTAAAAAATGGCTTCAAAATGCCACCAAAGTTCAAAAACTAAGAAAACAATAATTATTATTATTATCCAAAACATGTATGCAATTTTCCATCCAAATGAGTTGCTATTTACAATAAAATTTTTGTTAGATTAGAAATGATAATATCGTGGAAAGTTGTAATATACTAAATATCGTAACTTACTAGCCATAAGAAAGACAATATGTTTCGATTCCTAAAAATTGATATAAAAAACGATTAGTTTACGCAAACTACCGGATATAAAATAGTAATTTTATGTAGATAATCACCAAGATAGACATTAATCCTACAATTTTTGATGGATGCATAAAAAAAAAAGAATATATATAAGAAACTTGAAAATAAATATAAATGATTATATAATTATACTTTACCATGCTGTTATTAATAGCAATAAACCAAATATTTTATGTAAACGCTTTGTAAATCTTGGATAACCCTAACAAATGATCGATATATGATTAGCTAATTTATTAAACAAAGTTTATGAATGTCAAATGCAGAGACAGACCTTATTAACTGATACTACAGACGTTTGTCCCCACATAGCGATTAGACCAAGGGCTACAGAATATCAAACAATTAAATTGACTGAATTAATTAAATTAAATTGAAATTCAATTGATTACAAAGTACCTAATTCAAAAAATGATAAGGTATATAATATCAATCCCGTCCTAAATTTTACCAATAGTCAATACATAATAAGTAACAACAAAAATAGACAAAATCAATATAATGATAATGTATATTGGTGAGATAATACCAAGCATGTGGCGTTTGTGTTGACACCATTGTAGATATAGCAGCGGCACCAAATGCCGAAGCAGAAATACCGCCCACCAGTTGTATAAATCGATGTGCTTTAAGATGTAGATTATGATGCTATAAATAATCAATTTGTAATCAATGTTCTAATCTTAATACGTATAATTTTCGGAAATTCGATATATTACTGTTGCATAAAATCTAGATCTGATCCGGTTTACGCGAGAAAACAAATATAATAATAATGAACCAAACGTACCTTCCAGTACCGAACGATTAAGATTGAAATTGGAAATAAGATGCTAAAAATTGTAATAAATATTTAGATAACTATTTAGTATCATAACAAAATGGTTTAAGATTTCTTATTTGTACCATTAATACCAACTCCTAAAAGGAAACTTTAAAATGTGAAGATAGAAGAATATAGGCTTAGGGCTTTAAAAACAAACAATATATCACCTATCGCTATTTGCTTTTTTTCGTATTTCGTTTTTTTACACGTGTTTAGATTCTATATTAAGATTATTAAAATTTATGACTATTTCCTTTTGAGGAGTTTGTATTGCCGGCACAGAAAATTTTACATTTATTTACCACCATGTAACGAACATTCCACAACCGTGAATTAATCTAACCAGCCTTTGAAGGCTGCTTGAAGCTGCGGAACTAATTTCACTGTTGTAAAAGTCCACACGAAGCAACATACGATTATTTTGGTGATAAGAGAAAGCGTTGCTGTTTGGATTATAAGCCAAGATATCTGTAATATATATTAATAAAATAATAATTTCAACATAACGAAATTTTCAACGATTTAACATAATAAAAATATAAAAAAAAATTAAATATCGCACATTTCATATCACCATGAGTAATTCGTTTTCTTCCTGGCGGATTGAGAGGTCTTCTGAACTCTACGGTTACAGCTTTCTTATTAGACATAGAAAACTTTGGTATAAGAGTGGGATCTTGATTTGAATCACGTAGGGGAGGATGGTAACCGCCTACATCAGCATGATAATTTCCCAATGTGACATTTCCATCGGTAACCTTTGATAAAATAACGTAATAAAAGTTTTAGATATTTTTAAATAGCAATTCTTGCAAAATACAATTTGTATGTTTCATTGAGACTTACAATGCCAATGATAAATTCAGCACCTTTCATTCCTTCATCCTCTGGATCAAATCCCTATTATATATATTGACATAATGAACACAACGGATAAGAGAACATTCAAAAACCAATTATTAAAAATGTATTTAAACTTACCATTCCAAACCAACCATTGCCATCAGAAGTTTGAAGTTGAACTTTGAAATACACATATGCCATATCAACTCTATAACTCACAATATATTGACTCCAAGTACTAATCTTGGTTGGATAATTAATATCATCACTATTGTTAAGTACCATCTGAGGCTGAACTGACCAAATATTTTGTGGGAAATGTGTGCTACTATTAATGTTACGAGTTATGATATCTCGAAGTGTCGTATTTCGTATGATAATTCGTTCATCAGAAGTAAACATATCAGGCTTTTCGAACCAAAACCTATCAGAATCCCTAATATATGTATACTTTTTTTAA